CTCCATTTGCGTTTCCATGTGTGTGTGTGTGTTTATATATATGTATACAACTTTTTCCATCTTTCACGCTTTTTACTCAAATTTAGAATTCTATTATTCCTTGGTGGGTTTTCTCCGTTGAGCCATCATTATACTGGGGCCATTCTGTCATTTTAGTCCACTGCGGTGCTCTCAAATTGTTTGAGGATTGGAAAAAGAAAAGGAGAAAGGTTATTATAACACATAAACACTTAGATAATCAAAGTTTAAATTTATTAATTTTCTTTTCGTACGTAGTTATTTATAAGATTAAACTATGAAAGAAAGATGTGGAAAAATAGATGTTAAAAAAATTTTAAAAAAATGAAAGGTCACAAGGTCGGTCCATTTGAGGACAAACAACTAAGATAATGAATGAATTGAAATTTCTTACTTAAAGTGAAAAAATATAAATAAATAAATTTGCGGCTGTATATAAATTTGGGAATATATTCAACATCTCTTTCACTTGGCAATTGAATAACTCCTTGGGACCATGATTGAACATGCTTGTCGCATAAAGCTGGCTCCATATGATTTCCATTCTTTCATTTTCTTCTTTTTTCCTTTTTTTTTAAATTAAAAAAATCAAAAAAGAAAAATCCTAATGTTTAATTTTCAAAGATTTGATAATCAGGTCAATTATCGTACCTTAAACAGACTCAATTACCCTAAAGCTTACTTTGGTGACAAGACACTAATTTGAGCACCCAAAAAAGAAGTCGAACAACAGCAAAGAGCATGACATGACACCAACACTTATAATTTTGAAAAGCCTCAGACATGGCTCCCCACTTTGCCAGAAATAAGAGCCCTCAAAATCAAATCACCAATACTCCTTTGCGAACCCAGCAGTGCCAAGTCTACACACAGCCATGGAAGAACCATTCCCACTCGTATCTTCTTTTCCATATGTGGTACAAAAATCCAATAGTGGCTTCTAGCCCCACCCATCAACTTTATAATCCTACAATTACTAACGCCGATCGCTTCCTTCCAAAAAACAAAATCGAACAAGATATAAATACTCGTGTAAGTGTGACTGTTTTACTATTTTGTACTGTCACGTGACAATAATAATTCACTTAAATTTTTCCTATTAGAAAGAGATAAAAAACAACTTGATAGTCAGGTTCCTACCAATCCGTGGGCGGCCATGCATCGGTATGGAATACCTGTGTCTTTATTTGTTGTAAGTCGGGTTTTTTTATATTTTATAACTATTTTGTAATGCAACGCGACAATAATACTGCTCCAATTAAAATTTTCCCACTGGAAAGAGATAGGAAACAAGTTCAATAATGTGATTTTATGTGTATGTTGGGGTGGGGATGCCTATTCCTTAGTAGGAGATGCGTATGAACATGTCCAAGCATATGAAGTGATCCATGAACTGTGGAAAAAGTTTTTCTTTTCCACGTAAAGAAGAAATTATGGAGATGTGGAAAGAAAAAGAAAGAAAGATAAAAGTGAAACATGAGAGAGAGAGAGCGAGAGAGAGGGAGAGAGAGAGGTGTCATTGGGTGGGGTGGGGTCGTCATATTCATGGGTGAGTGGGTGAGTGGCCTAGTTGTTGATGCTTGGATTTGTTACCAAAAATAGGAATTTATGAGTTTGCTAGTGGGGAACCTAGTTCTTTCCCTCCATTCGTTTCTTGATTTGACAAATTTTCACTTTCCATCATTATATTATTGAAAAAAAATTCAAACTTTCTAACATGCAGTAGGATATTTATATTTATATTTATTTTATTTTGGAACAAGGAGGCCCAAACAGAACACAGAACGAACAGAACATATTTCTGGGCCTATAAATCCCACATAAGTGGAGATATGTGCCTAGCAATTCTTGGGCTTTGCTTGAGCCATTTTGGATGGGTCCCTAGTTGAAAAGACAAGCTGCAGATTTTTATGGTGGGCTTTCAGCTTACGATGTTTTACAAACTCGTATGCTTTTACGCATTCCCAGATTCAGATTTCAGTGCCATAAATAAACTCTTTTTTTGTTTGTATTTATTTATGTGTTTAATGCATGGATGGGAATGTTGTTTGTTCTCTTCCGTATTGTAACTTGAAGCACAGACCACGCACAGTTCAAAAGGTGTCATCTGGCTTCATTTACGAAATCTAGGATGGATTATCAAAACAAAACTAACCCTTAATTTGTCAATGGGGTTTAGACTAGTCGAGTTAGAAAGGGTTTGGACTTGTAAATCAGTTATCTCAGGTTCTAACGCACATGTCATTTTAATAGTTTGTGTATGAGAAACCATCATTCTTTTTTTAGTTTAGACTATGCTTTGGTTGCATCGGAGAAGACAATAAGGAAGAGAATGAACACGTACGAGATCAACTATCTTTCTCATCAATCTAATTTCTTACTTTTCAAGTGTGGATGGTAATAAAAGTTTTTTTTCTTCTTAATTCTTAATAAACACATGAGAATTCATAAATCATAATCTTTAAATGGTACAAAACTTATCGTAATTAGAATTAATCGGCAGACTCAGCACATGGTTTATGCACATCATTCCATAAGATTATTCTGCGTGGGCGTGGCCTAAACTCCATGTGATTATTTTGTCAACCCCACTGTGAATCTATGATATTAGCGATCCTTGTTCCAAGGAAAGCATTGCTTTGCTAGGAGCCGCACGTGTGTTACCCAACAGCACATGATCACACGTATAAAAGTAACAAGGGAAAATCAGAAGATCTTTATTTTGTGGGGAAAATATATAAATTAAACATGTTCTTGTCTTGTGTTGTGTCAGATATTAATAATAAAATTAGAGTGAAGGGAAAGATCATCCAAGTTCCTCCGCTTCCAATCAAGCATATAAACTTGCGTTTGAAGATTCAATAATTTTGTTTGATAAACTGATCATTTGTTGCTTTTAAAAACTCTGAGCCATCACTGGAAATTATATTTTTTTGGTGTGGAAATGATTATAATATAATATATGTACCTAACGTGTGTTTAATTATGCTTTTGATTAGAGATGGTAATGATCTTTACGTCATTCTGTTTTAGAATTTTGTTTAATTATTTGATTAGGGTTTTGGACGCATTAAATTCAACTACTTCTGTCTCATAATCTCATTTTAAAAAATGCTTGAAATATGCATGGGAATCTAATAAAGATGCTTCTAATTATAAAAAATAATGGCGATATTCTGTGGTTGGATGGAAGCTGGAAGCTGGACTAAGTTAGTTATAATATCTATCTAGCTCTATTTTACTCCACGTGTCATTGTGTTATTGATTAAGAGATATCTGCTATTCTCGGCACAAGAGAGTTTCTCTTATATTTTAGAGAGATAAACAAACACCATTAGTCATAATGAATCATTATAAACAAGTAAACAAACAAGCAATCCAAAAAGAAAAAGAAAAACCTAGTTCTGTACTGTAGTCTGTATTCAATGCATGGTTTCAACCTAAACCTAATGATAGATCACCAACGGGCAGCTTATTCAAATTTCAAAGACAGGCAAACACAAGATGACAAGAAAAATACAGGAGGTAAAAAGAATGCTCATGATAAGAAGCAGACGGTAAAAAAATAAAGGTGGAAAAAAAGATGAAGGCTTCATCATCCTTTACCGCTGTCACGTGTAAAAGAAGCTAGAAAGTGAAAAAATACACGTATCTGTCAACTTTTTTTTTGGGTTTGAGAAAACAACATGATGATCTGCGGTGGGTCGTGTTGATTATTTCATGACCCCATTGAAAAGTAGGTTGCACCAGTAAATTTAATCGAACAATTGGATTGGATCCTCCCCCACAAGAACTTTGGCCAGTTAGATTAAAGAAGGTGGACCAAACAATTCAGATTGCGACGTTTTATTTATTTATATTTTAAAAATATTTATATATTACCTTTTACTGCATTGCATTTCAGGCTGTCTTTTTTTACTCGTGCTAATTTCATTCCTTCTAAGCAATTTTACAGCTGAAAGTATTAGGTTGATTGTACACCAACTATTTATTTAATTAATACAAAATTCGTCACACATTCATTAGGAGAAAGAAAGACAATGATAGAAAGAATATGTGTAATTCTGCATATAAGATTAACACCTCAACATCAGTCCACGTGAATAAATGAGAAATTGTTTTATTTTGACAACTTTTTTGATTTTGCAAACCGGTTCGAATTAACTTTGCTTAAATACCAAGAATATTGCATACGTGAGTTAGTTCAATTGTTCAAGTTAAGATTGTGTATCCATCCTCTTGCGCTTCAATTTCAAAGCTACGCGTATTAGAGTAATTTAGACTATCGCTGCTCGTATAGGAAAAAAAATATCAAAGACATTAAAAAGCGTTGATTAGGAAGCTTCATATCTGAGCATCAAACAATGCCGGTTGTGACTCATTTTGATTTTGACCTCGTTTTCTTCCATAAGAAAAAAAGTAGCAAATAGTAACCACCAACGTAGTCATTATAGAGAAAAAGGAAAAGAAAACGCGTTATAGGTTTTATTTTTTTATTTTTAAGTAAGTGGAAAAAAGTGAAATGAAAATGGTCCCGTAAACGACCAAAAAGACTTACCACCAAAACAAAGAGAAAAATGAGAAAATCAATGGGACCAGTTTCCACGTGTAGAAATCATATATCGACACGTGTACGACTGCTTCGATGACAGAATATGGGCCTACCAAAAACCAAAAGAGAACCCCCAAAACCCACGGCCCTCGCTTTTCAAAGTTGGTAAGACATTAGACACCACCTTCCGCTCTCTCTCTCTCTCTCTCTCTCTCCATCCTTTAGCTTCAGATTTACAGCAGAGATAGACACGGAAAGAGCACATAAGAAGAGAGAGAGAGAGACTCACTCTTCTCTCTTTCTCTCTCTTTTACAAGCATGCAAACCCTGAACCACGTTGTAGCTTCCACTTTTGCCGCTCCCAGCTCTCTTTATTCACATGCACTCACCTCTTTCCCCACTCCAGTAGCTCTGAGTTTTTTCCACGTTCATGGCGGTCTCAGCAGACGTCGATGCAGTGCTGCAATTCTTGAGGAAAAACGGGCTTTCAGATGCCGAGTCGGCACTCAAAGAGGATATGATTGAAAAAGGTGATCTGGGTTGTCTCGATTACGAGAAATTCTTGTTTCCGATGGTGCCTCCGCCTCCTCCGGTTAGAATTCCGGCGAGTTTCCGGCGATCAGAGGTTCCAGGGGGCGGTGAATGCTCGAGATCGAGCTCGCAGGAAGACGATGAGTTTGTGAGCATGGGGTCTTCTACTTCTAATATGTGCTCATCATCAGGTAGTTCAAAGTTATTGACTTGGATCAAAATTCAGCTACTGGTTGATAGCTATAAGCATATTCTTATCATTTCAGTTTGTTGTTTCTTCCAATATGTTAAATTGAAATCGGCCAAAAAAGCAAAAAGAAAACTTGCGCATTGCTGCATGGAACTTCAACTGACATTTTTTTGTTTCCTTTGTTTCCTCACATTTTCTTTTCCCTGAATTGTGCTTTAGCAAATTGTCTTTTAGTCACTGATGATATGCACTTGAAAAGGCATGCTGGAAAATCAAATATCGATAGAGCACCTATAATATCAGTAACTCAAGGCTTATTAAATTTCAGTCTTTGTAAGATTTTCTGTTGCTTCCCTAGTTCTTCAGCCAGGAAACAGAAGATTTCCTAGTGATTATCTTGCCATTTTTCTTTCTGTTAGTTGATCGTTAATTAAAGAAGTCTCTCCCTTTTTTCTTTCACAGAATTTACAAATCCGTATGGAATTCGATCGACATCCCCAAGTGGTTCCAAAGCCTCATCTGATAGATTCTCTCAATTTGGCACTGCCCGTGATTACCATGATTTTGATATGCAAAATGACCTGTTCTGGCACGATGAGAAAGATGATGGAGACTTCATGACTCCTTGCTTTGAAGGGCCAGACTTCTTTGCCTGTCCCAGTGAGGATAAGTACATCATGACTTCGGACACAGACAAGCAAAATGAGAACCTTCCGGGTCTGAATTTTAAATCTGGAGCATTTCAATCAGACATAAGCCTCGATTACTTGGACAAGAATTGTCTTACTAATATTTCTCCCGTGGATGATAAAAGTGAGCTTTATGTAACAGATCATTATAATTTTGATAAGAAAAATAACCTTGAAGGAGGCTTTGAGGAGGAGCCTGAGGGATGTGCTCCCCCTGCTTCTTCAGTCCACCTTTACAATTGCTGTGTTGGAGCTGAAGGATTTTATGGTGAACATTCTGCAGATTGCTGCTACCGGAGCTCAAAACAAACTGATTTCAATAATTGCCAATTAAAGGTTTTGGGGGACATTCTTCCCACTGACATTGGTTCTGCTCCAAATCGTAGAATAAGCAAGAGTTCTGAAAATGACCGGGTTGAAAACTTTAAAGGCTCCTCTGGTTTAGATGGTAAGGTTGTAGAGAAAGATTTCATGCAAAAAGGAATTGATGGCTATGGAGTTGGAGACAGTGAAGTAAATGAAGAACCTTGTGAGCCTGAGGCTGCTGCTGATGGAGATGGTGTTGACACTGATGAGGTTCTGATGTACAATGCTAACGAGGATGAATATGAAGTTTTCGAATTAAGAATCATACACAGAAAGAACAGGTTTGTTGGGAATAGTATGCTTTCTATGGTTTTGGTTCTGTCATAGCTAAATTCTTGGTGTCCGTGCTGTTAAGCTAGTTTTTGCCACTTGAAAGGCATTGACAACTTATTGATTCATCTTGACCAAGAAGAAGCATTTATCTTGGGAGGATATTTTCTTATCTATGTTTTGATAGAGGTTTGAGCTCATGTACGTGTGTATTGATAGGTAACTATCAGTTTTACTCATGTGTTGTGCCATTTACAGGACTGGATTTGAAGAAAACAAGGATTTCCCCATTGTGCTAAAGACCGTAATTGCAAGCAGATACTATATAACAGAATATATTGGTTCGGCAGCTTTCAGTAAGGTTGTACAGGCTCATGATCTTCACACAGGAGTCGATGTTTGCCTTAAGATCATAAAAAATGATAAAGAGTTTTTCGATCAGAGTTTGGATGAGATTAAACTTCTAAAGTTTGTCAACAAAAATGACCCTGGAGATGAACACCACATTCTGCGATTGTACGACTACTTCTATCATCAGGTATTTCTTTCTGATCCAATGTGAAAAGAACTTCAAATAATTTGCTTCATTTGAGTGGGACATGGTAGATTTCATTCACCGAGGCTAAGTTTATACCCCTATAATTGTTATTTATGTAAGAGGAGGAATGATTACTCTGTTGGGTTGATTGATTGGAATTCTTACAATGGCATGCATTCTTCAAATGATTTAATATGCCCAAATTTATTCTTGCAAAACAGGAGCATCTCTTCATTGTTTGTGAACTCCTTCGGGCAAACTTGTATGAGTTTCAGAAGTTCAGTCAAGAATCTGGCGGAGAAGCTTACTTCACAATAAGAAGATTGCAGGTGCGTGTTTTATTAACTTGTAATGTTTTCCCTACTGGATTCCATCACTATTAGCAATGGCTTTTCAGCTGCTTTAAAACTAATGGTGCCCTCTTGACAGGTCATAACCCGTCAATGTTTAGAGGCATTGGATTACTTGCATCACTTGGGAATTATTCATTGTGATCTAAAGCCTGAAAACATTCTTATAAAAAGTTACAGAAGATGTGAAATAAAGATCATTGATCTTGGAAGCAGTTGTTTTCGCACGGACAACTTGTGCCTTTATGTGCAATCTCGTTCCTACAGAGCTCCTGAAGTCATTCTTGGTCTCCCTTATGACGAGAAGATTGACATGTGGTCTTTGGGCTGTATCTTGGCTGAGCTATGCTCTGGGGAAGTATGTCTCTGTTTGCCTCAACTTTATTCATTATGTTCGGCTCTGTTTTATTAATAGCCAATCAAATGATGCTTTCTTTAGGTTCCCATCAACTTGAAGGAATAATTCCTCTGGTAAAATTTTTCATACATAAATACAGTTGTGTTCATAATATCTTTGTCTTCATCAGGTGCTCTTTCCAAATGATGCGATTGTAATGATCCTTGCACGTATGATTGGAATGCTTGGTCCTATTGATCTGGATATGTTAGTGAGAGGTCAGGAGACAGACAAGTACTTCACAAACGAGTTAGATCTTTACCACATAAATGAGGTGCATACTCCAAATCTCTCTCTAAATGAGTAGTTATAGACTTTTACAGTTGTTTCCGGTTTTTCACTTAGTAGTAAATCATCTTTACTTTTCCTTTTGTACTTAACGAATATAGCATATGGACTAACGCTTGCCATCCCATATCCAGGAGACAAGCCAACTGGAATACATAATACCTGAGGAGTCCTCCTTGGAGAATCACTTGCAAGTAACCGATGTCGGGTTTATTGACTTTGTTAAAAGCTTGGTTGAGGTCAATCCCGAGAGACGCCCAACGGCGAGGGAGGCAATGGAGCATCCATGGCTTTCCTACACGTACGAATCGAGTCCTTTCTAAACCTGTGGGGGGTCATGGTTTCCCCTCGTGGCTTTATTTGCTGTACATTCAGTTTTGAAGGGCACATTTGTGAGCAGAGTTGAGTTGCATCCTGTGAGGCACAGGACTCACTGGGATGCGCTTCCAATATGCAATATCAGTTTTGTTTTTGTGTACATGTCCTGTTTTGCATTGTCCTGTCGTATATTCTCATGCTGATTAACATATTCATACTTTGTTCTTTGTACAAAATATAAGCAATCTCTGAGTGACTGGGTCATAGAAAATGTAATAAAATCTTTTTGGCGTCGATTCGGTTCTTTTAGATGCCAATTCTAAGTTGGTTGTTTCCTCATTCGGTATGTTATCCAATCCAATCCAATCCAATTCAATCCTATACACCAAATGGTCGTTTTCTCATTTGATATGTTATCCAATTCAAACCAAAGAATTTGTTTTCAAAGAAAATTTAAATCTTTCCATGATTGATAAGATAAAATAAGTGAAATTGTTTGAAGCTGTCAGTGCCAGGTAAATCTTTCCATGAGATGAGAAAATGACCTTCAAATTTTCCATTCGTAGAAATGAAAGATAAAAGATAAAAAACCTTGACCAAAAAAGACAAAAAATAATAATAAATGTTCCTCATCCAGTTTTGCCATCATCACCAATCACTGAATGCAGACCCAAAAACACTGAATTATTTCAGTGGTGATGATTTTATCAAAACGCAAAGTTGGTCTTAAAGAAGAAAGGATTGTCTCTTCTGATTGGCGCGACTAGGATTTACTTTCCCACTTTTCTCAACGTTCCACGCCCTCATTTCGCGCGTGTAAATTTTGTCAAAACCTCCACTCGGAAACCCCTCAAAACTCTCTCTCACTCGCCTCCACAGCGCGTCGGCGTCCGCAACCCGCTCTAGGCTTCGTCGAAAGCAGCATCGCCGAGAAAACAAGGAACACGATAGAGACAAAGAGGTGGTGTGTTTGGTTTTGATTGGCTGATGAGAGTTTAGAGTGAGTAAGAGAGAGAGAGAAAAGAGTCGCAGTTAACGAACGAACAAAAAGCCCAATCAATCAGCCTCCTCTGTTCTGACAACCCAAAACAATGGCCGAGTTGACTCAGGGCGAGGTGGTCTACTCGCCCAAGACTCTCCAAGTATGGCGGGCCTTGGTGAACTGGTTCGGCTTCTTCTTCCAGATCTTCCTCCAAATCCTCAGAGCCCTCGGTCACCACCCTCTCCTCTCTTCTTCGTCTTCGGCTTCGTCTTCTTCCGCCTCCTTCAAATCCCTGCCGGTCGTCGAGTTGCAGGAGCTCGAGCACGACTCTCCCGCCGCCTCCGCGGTTGAAATCGCCGACACCCCTGATGCCGACTCCGACGACCGCATCCACAAGCTCACGGTACGCTTTCGAATTTCAGCAACTTTCAATTTTTGTAAATAAAAATCTTGAATTACTGGAATTCTTGTTCTAATTTTTGGTTTTATTCATGTTCTGTATTAATCAATTAAAAAAAGTTTTGATTTTGCTATCAGTGGAATGTTATATATAGAAGCTAATTTACGAATTTGATGAATAATTAAAGCTAATGGGACGAAGAATTAGTTTACTAAAAATGGCTGGATGATATGGAAATTCAGTAGAGAGAGAGAGAGGGGGGTGTGGTGGGTGCGCAGTGCACTCTTTCTTTTTTGTGTGTTTGGCACTAAAGAGCTACTACTACAGGTAGTTCTTGACCTGGATGAAACTCTAGTGTGTGCATACGAGTCGTCTAGCTTGCCCGCTGTCGTTCGAGATCAAGCTACAGAAGGTGGGTTGAAGTGGTTTGAGCTTGAATGCGTATCTTCAGACAAGGTGCTTTTCTTCTTTAATTGATTATCTTGTCTACATTCAAAAGATGCAAAGTTTGTTTACACGAGTGTGTTGGAGTTTGAAGGAATGTGATGGGAAACCAAAGGTCAATTATGTTACTGTCTTTGAGCGTCCCGGGTTGCAAGACTTCTTAAGACAAGTCAGTCAGTTTGCAGAGCTGGTGTTGTTTACTGCTGGTCTTGAAGGTTTGCTTATAACCTTCCATTTCCCTTTTTATTTTTCTCTTAATTTGGCCCTTCCTTTTCCTCTAACTATTTGGAATGTCTATGTTTCTGAATTGTATCAGGTTATGCTAGACCACTTGTTGACAGAATAGATGCTGATAATTTATTCAGTTGTCGACTTTATCGGCCTTCAACAACCAGCACGTAAGTGATGCTCCCTGTATTTTTCATCTTCTGTAAACAGTTTTGGGTCTCTTTTCCAAAATTAGTAGCTATTTGCAAGGAAAACCTCATCTGAGATTTTATCCGACCTATCTACATGAGTTTCTTCTGTTGCTTTTGCAAAAAATATATATGTCTCACGTTGATGCCCTTGTAATTGTCCTCTTGAAATTGCTGCTTCAGTATTTTACTTGGAGATCGTCATATGTCATAAGCACTTTCAGACACAGAAATCTTATGGTCCTTCATAACATGTCACCATCACTTACATGTATGATCACCCTATAAAGTTAGCCTATTACCCGCAGCACTCTAGTCTCTAGTTGTCTTCTGATTGAGTGTGATAAAATATTTATGCTCTTACAAGAAACCACATCATAAATGCCATATTGAGTTATAAGGTGTATTCATGTTGGAGTAGCACGCACGCAGCTAGTAATTTTCAAACTTTTTCTTGATGGCTCATGAAATTATTAGAGTTATTTCAAGCTCTCTATAGAATGTAAACTTAACATAAGATTTTCGACATATATCTATACAGTTTATCACTTTCTGTGTTCCTATGTTTTATTGCTTCAAGTCGTTATCCCAATTTGTCGATGTATACTTTTAGGCAGCCTTGTGGCTCCATGAGTATTGTTACTGACGTTTTGTTTAAATAGCTCAAGTACTGGTATTAAGAGGATTTAAACCCTTGGTTGTTCCCAGCTCAAGACTAAGTTGTTTAGTTTGGTAAAACCTCTAATGTTGGATGAATACAGGGAATACCGGGAGCATGTGAAGGATCTCTCTGGCCTAGAAAAGGATATGCGCCGAATTGTTATCGTTGACAACAACCCTTTCAGTTTCTTGTTGCAACCTTTGAATGGAATTCCATGCATTCCATTTTCTGCTGGGCAAACACACGACACACAGGTATAAAAATCAAACTTATTGAAATTTCCGGCTCTTTACCAGCTATTACTTAACTTCTTGGTTTCACATCCTTTTCCTTTCCTCTTAACCTTTGTTGTTCAGCTTTTGGATGTTCTTCTTCCACTCCTCAAGCACCTCTCACTGCAGAAAGATGTAAGGCCTGTGCTTTATGAAAGGTTTCACATGCTCGAATGGTTTCAAAAGCAGGGGATTCCTTCAACAAGTTGGAAATAGTAGGATTTTCAATAATTATATGCAATGGAATTCCCATTCTTCTTTCATGCAAATCCTCAACCGTTGCTTAGTTCAAGCCTCAAAGGGAGTGTCTGTACAGCTTCAGTGTGTGCACTGCAATTTGTTGATACAAGGCTGTGTTTTGACCAGAGGTCCAAGTGCTTCATCTCACTATCATACGAAAACCATTTATGTATCTAGATTTGTTTACTATGATTTTTGTGTAACTTTGTCTATATTGCTTGCTGTTCTCTTCAATCCCTTATGTAATTTGTTAGGATTTTGTGAAATTGTTGCCAATAATTATTAGCAGTTTATACGTTTCTCATCATGCTTGTGTTTTATCCGCTGCTGATATGAACTCAAAAGAGCCAGAACTCAACGGAATGCCATCAGTTTGCATGTGTAAGCGTACGTGCTCGAATTGGAATTACACCAAAGATTTTCTAAGGCCATCTCAAATGTAATCCTATATAGAGTGAAACTTAAACTACCAAAAAAAACAGAGTATATCTTGGCTTAGACCGAGTCTACTCCATAAATAGATACATAGGAAGAAAAAATCAATTCTGTCTGGTCCTGAGTTGAGTGTGACCAGAAGTAACCTAACAATTCTAATCCTAGCCCCTTGAGCCACCAGAAAGTACATTGACGGACCAAACTTCAGCCCAACTGCTAGCCTCTGTGTCACTTTTTGGTCAGAGGAAAAACCCAAAAAGAGTCTTTAGGGCCACCAAACTGGACTGAACTATCATCATGTGAATTGACATTTTTAGGCTGGGCCTGTTGGATGGTTAACGCTAGGCCTCAGCTGCCTGCAACCGCTGGTAAATTTTGATTCACCACCGCCAAGCCTTTTTTCAATACAAGCAATAGTTTACAAGGTGGAGGGGTTTCTCACGCACACATGCTACTAAAGTATTATAAGCCACCACCGAGCCATCCCCAAATTAAAATAAACTCTACATATCTTCACCTTGCCCTACCTTGATCTTTGTGCCTCTCAAATTATCTGGCACAGCAACAAGGACACCCTTCTTTCTTCATAACTTCTTTAAGGTTGTTTAGTTGTTAATCATGTCGTGTTAATTGAGGAGCAGCCAGCAATCCGACATTATGTTAGGCACTCATGGTTCCTTTAACAGCTTGGCTCTTATATATTCAGTGACAAAAAGCAAAGGCACGAGGGTCTGCCTTATTTTTCACTTTTTTTTATTATCTCTATTTGTATTTTGTGTTCATTCTTGCCTTCTTGGTAATTTGGCCGTTGCCTTTCATTTAATTTTTTTTTAAATGTATCGCTTTCTCAAAACTTGCCAAACCCAGACAAGCTGAATCTTGATAACATGCCTATGTTGCCTTGAGTTTCATTGCCAACTTTTCTCAACCTCACAAAAAGCCCAGCATTTCTAGGTTTCAGCTTCACCTTTGTTAAAAACAATAATAAATAAATCTGAAAATCTGGAAAAGGCCAACTTCTGCATCATTATCTTTATATGCTGCACTGCATATATTATTATATCTGTAGCCAGTCAACATTCGACACATAATATATATATATATATATTTATTGATGCCACAAGATTGGAGAGTCTGTGAGGATAATTTTAATGTATTTAAAAAAAAATTAAAAAAAAGATAATGAAGTTGGATATATTTATTAGATTAGCTCTGTCCTAATCTTGCGCAACAGCTATGAGTATAAAAAACTTGGGCCCAGATGATGTTGTGTTGTTCAATTATTTTTGCAGTTGGTTGCCTTTTTATTATATCTAAACTCTGTTGACAACTATGCACTACAACTTTCCTTCACAGTTCACACTATTTTTAAACTTATTTATTATTGTTTTATCATAAATGAGGTTATTTTTCCCATTTGAGTGCTTTAATTATATTCAAGCCTCCTTTGGGCAGTTTAGGAGATTGCTTAAATTTATCTAATAATGATCAACAAATATTGGGTCAAAACTCTTTTTCTAGTCAAAGCTCCAAAAGTACCTTTTTACTATCTTATTTCATTAGTTTAGATAAATACAATCCCCATCTTTTGTCTAAAAGCAAAAGCTATGTACAAGAATGTGAAAGTATTGTGGAATAAACTACAATTTATAAGTGAGTATGTCTTTTATGATAAAATTTCATCTCGCTGGATTATACATGTAATTAAGTTGAAGATAATATCGATATTGATAGTAACGAGTTATTGATCAATCTTTCTAAAAATGTTTATCATATTTTGACAAAAATGTAGAAAAGCCTAATGAACTGAAAACTAGATGAAGAAATCTGCATCTCCTCTTCCACTTCACTTCAACCATCACACCTCTCTCACCTCCTCCTCGTCTCTTCCCATCAACATAAGTTGTTTCCTCTCTCCCTCCCATGAGATCTGAAACCTAAAATCCTCTTCTCTCCCTATGATTTTCTTAGTCGTCTACTGGCTTGCTGCATCTGCTTCTCCCCTACAACCCGTCTTCATATATGAGCTTTTGTTATGGAGGTGTGGATGTATTAGACTTTTTGTAATCTCTATTTGGTAATGACATGTTCATTCCTTTGAAGAAAATAAAATAAAAATCTGCAGTATGCACATAGCAACCAAATCTTCAGTATATATGCATTACTAATTAGTGTACTCAGACCCAAAAAGAAAGAAATAAAAAGAGTCCTTATTTTGTTTCATTTATGAGAAAGACTGTGTCTTTTTCACACGTCAAACGTTGAAATGCGATTAGACAACAGAATAGAAGGTTCTTCCTCATCTTGAAATGCAATGCAACTAATTAATTATCATTAGGCCATGTGCTTAGATTACTCAATATTCACGTACACACTACACAATTTAATTAACTAAACACGTCTGCTTTACCTTTTCTGAGATGATTTGAATACTTATATCTATTTTTGCCAACATTCTTTTTGTTTGGTCGATCAGCTCAAGTTTTCTCCATTTAATAGTTTTATTTCCCTTCTCATTTGGGGGCTTATATATACATCTGTGTATATTAATTAGGTTACAACAACAATTACATCCATTGTTTGAATTGGTCATAGGTATACAATTCCTCCCATTTTTGAGTTCATATTTGCAAGTTGTGTTGCAGTTTTTAATTGGAGATTGTGTGTTAATTGCACCTGCTGACCTAAGGCAGGTCATTAGGTGAGCGGGATTGGTTTTAATAATAGTCGTATCAAACTTAAGTTAAAAAAATTGAATTTTTAATAATGTGAGTGGTGAGTATATCTCTAGCGAACAAATCAAGATTCAGTTACATGTTCATATTAAACTTGACAAATTCAGCTAAAAACCTTAATATATATATATACACACACACGTATGCAAAAATGGGAAGAAAAAGAGAGACTTTGTTTGTGAATTGTGATGGTGAAAGATTGGGTGAATTGGTAAACTTGAAAAATAACGACAGGGATGTATTTATCTGGGATCTTCGAGTGACCTGCCCACCTTTATTTGGGGTCTCTGTCAAACGTGTTTGACCACGAAACCACCCTTCTCTTTCATTTATCTTTCTTTCTTTGTTTTCGTTTCCTCCCTCCCTCCTCTAAAACATTTTATTTTATTTTACACTTACTCAATCACTGATTATGTTTCTAATTTAAATATATGAATTGGTTAATCCTTAATTATGTTTCTAATTGTCGCAAATTCTTTTTGGCTTTTGCTTTTGCATTTGTTTGGTCAAATATCTCACCCTACCTACTCCCTCATAAATATTTTCATTTCCTGAAATCCCTTTTTTTTGCATGATGCATGCACATTACACGTGCTTCACCCCTCGGGGAGCCTAATTCGGATTTATTTTCCCACACGTGTTATGACTGTTCCCAGCGGCTTTCTAAAACTTGGTTCCACACAACTAGTTCCATAAAGAAAAATACGTGAAGAAATAAATAAATTCAAAGGATGACAGCAAATACAATGAAAAATACAAATTAAATCAAATTAAATAAAACATAGTTTTAAATGGTTCAGTTGAAGTTTAAAAGATGGTTCCGCGGTTTATCGGATGTCACTCAAAGGCCGATTACACCATATATGACACAAATGCAGTTTTATATTTCACTATAGGAAACTGTAAGCTTTTTAGCGCGCGCATGAGTATCTTTTGTGATAATTGAAATACAAATTCTCAACCGTTGCATAATGACTATGCATATGAAAATAACCACATAAATTTTACTCTTTGCTCCCCTTTTTTTTTTCCTCCATTGTCCTTTTCAATCATATTTGCAATACATTCTAGGAAGGAGTTCAAGCATTACTCAAGACTCAAGAGGTTCGTTCGAGGAGCGACCCTAGAGGTTTCGGAGACGACTACAATTTTAGTATTCTTTAAATTGGCTTTTGAAAATTATTAAATAAAAAAAATGGCTAAAGGGGGGAAAAAATAAATTGAATAAGGAAAATGGCTAGTTTCGAAAATATCCCAAACATAAAAAGGAAAAAGAAGAATGAAATAAACGGATTAATATAAATGCTGTGAAACAAACTGAAACCCGAGTCTTTTATCAGTTTCTGATTCTGAGCTCCCAAATCTAACTTTGGATTTCTCTGTGTCTCTCTCTTCCTCTGTGTCTGTGTGCATGTAGACGCCTGAGAGCTCCACCAATGAAGCAGACCAGAGAGTCCAAACCCACCACCCATGCCGTCAATCTCCGCTCTTTTAGATGACGAAACTACCCTTCTCTTTCCTCACCACCTTCACCACCTTCATCGCCACCCTCCTCTTCACCCTCCCCTCAAATCATGCCTTCGGCTCCGGCTCCACCCTCGCCATCGTCTCCGCCTCCGGCACCGTATGCGGCCTCGTTTCAGGCCAACCGCGGCAGCGAATACTCTGCTACCGCCGTGGAGAAAACGTCACCGTCGAACCCAACATCTCGTTCTCCGCCATCTCCGGCGGCCGGGCATTCCTCTGCGGCATCCGCTCCGGCGGCTACAGCCTCCTCTGCTGGGACAACCTCTCGTCCCAAAACTCGACCTTTCATTCCAAACGCCTATACGTCAACGAAACCTTTTTGTTAGAAAATCTGTCAGTCGGCGACAGCCATATCTGCGCTAGAGTGGTCGGTACAGGCGCTGTGAAATGCTGGAGAGCCGACGACTTCTCCGAATTTCCATCTGGATCGGAGCAATTCGAGTCAATTTCATCTGGGTCGGGCTTCTCTTGCGGAATTTTGAAGTCTAGCTTTCGGGTTCTGTGTTGGGGTTCTGGTAGTACTTCAATGGCGAATGAGATTGAAAACGGGTTCAGGAACATGTCAATGTTGAGCATTGTAGCCGGTGGTTCGCACGTGTGTGGGCTCAACATTACTGGGCTTCTGGTCTGCAAAGGGAGCAATGATCATGGCCAGTTAAACGCCCCTATTGGCTCGGCATTTGAGTACTCTGCTTTGGCCCTTGGAGGTTACCACAGTTGCGCAATCAGGACATTAAACCAGTCTCTGATTTGTTGGGGCGGCGGAGGCGAATATTCAGTCAACGAAACCAAGGGGGTGTCTTTTGAAACCATTGTTTCTGGGTTGAATTTCACTTGTGGATTGACCACGATGAATTTTTCAATTATTTGTTGGGGTCCTGGTTGGCCTGGTCTCTCTGGTTTGAGGTCAGGGGATGAGCTCGATTTGCCTCAGCTTCTTCCAGGCCCTTGTGTTCCATCTTCTTGCAACTGTAGTATTTATCCTCAATCTCAAAAACTCTGTGATGGCTCAGGTAACATTTGCAAGCCTTGTGTGCCTCCAATTTCATTGCCACCGCCACCACCAACACCACCGGCATTGCCATTGCCGCCATCTCCATCAGTTTCGCCCCCATCACCTCCATCTAAGGCTCTGACGACGGGTTTATTGGCGTTTGCGATTGTGGGTTCTGTAGGAATCTTTGCAGGTATTTGCACAATTGTTTATTGTTTATGGACAGGCGTTTGTTTTGGGGACAAGAAAATTCACAATTCAGTGCAGCCCACAATCACCAGAGCTGCTAGCTCTAACAATGGCAATGGCACAACATCAAACAATAGCCCCCCTTCGAGATCGTCCACCATTAGGCGCCAAGGGTCAAGAATTATGAGGCGCCAGAGGAGTGGAACCTCGTCGGCGAAACACCCCGACAGGGCGGAGGAGTTCTCGCTGGCGGAGCTTGCAACAGCCACCAATGACTTCTCATCGGAGAACAAGATTGGCGCTGGAAGCTTTGGTGTTGTGTACAGAGGCAAACTGAGTGATGGGCGTGAGGTGGCCATCAAAAGAGGCGAAACAGCGTCGAAGATGAAGAAGTTTCAAGAGAAAGAGAGTGCCTTTGACTCAGAATTGGCCTTCTTGTCAAGGGTTCATCACAAACACTTGGTGAGGCTTGTTGGGTACTGTGAAGAGAGGGATGAGAGGCTCTTGGTTTATGAGTACATGAAAAACGGTGCGCTGTATGATCATTTGCATGACAAGAACAATGTCGAAAAGAGTAGTAGTTTATTGAATTCGTGGAAAATGAGGATCAAGGTGGCCTTAGATGCTGCTCGAGGCATCGAATATCTGCACAATTATGCAGTTCCTTCTATAATTCACAGGGACATAAAGTCATCAAACATTCTGCTGGACAATAATTGGACAGCCAGAGTCTCCGATTTCGGGTTGTCGTTGATGGGTCCTGAAGCAGATATTGATTACAGGCCAAAGAAGGCAGCTGGAACAGTTGGCTACATTGATCCAGAGTACTACGGCCTTAACTTGTTGACAGCAAAGAGTGATGTGTATGGGCTTGGAGTGGTGCTGTTGGAGCTTTTGACAGGGAAGAGGGCAATATTCAAGGACGGCGAGAACGGAGGGACCCCGATAAGTGTCGTGGACTTTGCTGTGCCGGCGATTATGGCCGGAGAGCTGGCGAGGGTGTTGGACAGAAGGGTTGGGCCTCCGGAAGTGAATGAAGCTGAGGCGGTTGAGCTGGTGGCATATACTGCAATGCATTGTGTGAATTTGGAAGGGAAAGATAGGCCAACCATGGCTGATATTGTGGCCAATTTGGAAAGGGCATTTAGTCTCTGCGATGAAAGCCATGGCAGCATCTCCAGTGGTGCAATCTCAATCATCTCTGCAGAATTGTAAGTGATGCTCTGCCCATAAAAGAAAACAAGAAAAAAAGAGAAGAATTATTTGTTCACATTTTTTGTCAATTTCTCTGTCTTTCTTTAGGATAATGTGGATGGGTTTTTACCGTTTTTACTTTTTGGATATAGAGACTAAAGATTTTAGGAGACAAGTTCCATCTAACATTTGAGCTGTAGTGTAGAATTTTGTGAACACTAACAGCCAGAAAAATTACAGTCTTGATTTGCAGCTTTCTTCTTTCTTTTTTTCTTTTTCTATTTCCTGGTTTGTTTTTATTATTTAAAACTGTATATGGCATTGCCAAATTGCCAAATTGCCAAATTGCCAAATTGCCAAATTGCCAATGCATGTGTGTGTTGCGCATGAACAAAGAATTTGCGTAAATCTAAAAGGGTAGAGGACAAAGAATGTGAACACAAGTTTCGCTTTCTATAAAAACCATAATAAATGTGCTTTTTTCTAAAGTGATAGCCAAAAGATTACAAAGGCCTGCGCTTTGTACTTGATTGAGAGCAGGCAGCAGAGCAGAAGAAGGCCGCAATGGCACACCACACGCACCCAACCAACAACCAATTTGAGAGAATTAGAATTTTTCAAAAGTCCTAAAATATCCCTACAAAGTATGGTCCAGCACAGAAAGAAGAATAAAGCAAAAAGTACTTCCAGTCCTATACTTTGAATGAATGAGGAAGAGAGAGAGCTTTGAGTTTCCACGTTCAGCAGTTTTGACTTTCAAACTTCAAAGAAAGCTGCCAAATCGGATAAGCCCATGTGCCCCCACAGTTTCTAGACACGTGTAGCCTCAAGATCCTATTAGACTAGTCCATTAAATCTAGCGGTGCCTAAAACTTAAATTTACTTAATATATGCAATGCGCACCATTCAGTTATTTTTGTAATAAATAAGTATATCATAAATACAGCTAGAGAGAGAAATGGAGAGGGAGTGGGGTTTGTCTATGAATTTGAAGTATGAACACTGTATAATATATGGACCGGGGTGGCCGATGCCCCACCCACCTCCTCCCTTGATTATGTATTTATTGGGAGGTGTTTGATGGAGATTGAACGCAAAATTTAATTGTGGCTTCAAAGAGTTAAATATTATGAAAAATGCAACGTATATCTTTGTCAATGGCGCCTTAATGAATGTAGTTTAGAGCTATTATTAGTAGGGCGGTTTTTGATCATAAATCACTTTGAAACTTATATTTCATTAATAGTCACAGCGTCAACGGAAGATCACAAAATCCATTGTATTACTTCTACGCTATTAAGATCACAAAGTGGTGCAAATTCTTGACAATGTATGTATCAAGGAGGAAAAAAGAGAAGGAAGCTGTTGAATTATACAACCTAAAAGGAGAAGAATGTAAGGACCAACTTTGAAAATTTAAAGATCACAAACTCAATCGTATCACAAAATTTGAAAGATTAGGTAACTGTTGGAATAATCAAATAGCCAAGGTGATATGGAGTTGAAGGAAAAAAGGTCAAGATTTACTAACTCTCTAGGGCCTACGAGAGACCAAATGGACTGCTGGTGCCTTGAGAAGTCTTTGTTTTGACGGGGACATTCACTTCAACAAGAGAACTGGGCAGAGAGTAGCTAGAGGAGGACGGCAAATTCCAAAATTCATGTATTAATTTATTTCATACAAAAAATAAAAAAGAATTAAGGGAAAAAGGGATTTTATAAATAAATCATGTGATGTGAACTGGTATCCATGTATGACTGAGACTGAAGTTTCAAAGTAAACGTTGTTGTTGACCTCAATTCAGGTGTCATTAACCTTTCACATGATGTAAATTCTTTTTATGTTTTTGTCTATTGAGTCTCCATTGAACAAAAACAATAACAAGGTAGGAAGAAGTGGTCCAGCTACGGTAGGACCTCGTACTCATTACGAATACATTATACTCGGATCATCATGATTCATTCGTTAGTTGGATTAAGTAACATGATCACTCAATAAATCATAATAACCCGAGTATAGCATTTTCATATGTTGGTAATGAGTAGGAGATTTTACTGTAGAAAAATCTTTGTTTTTGTTTCGAAAAGATGCAGAGGACCAAGTGAGGAACGTGTCGTTGGCACTGGACAGGTGTCGTTCCCAATGAGGCAACATTACGATTTTTGTTTGACACTGTCCGCGCCGTCGAATTTAAGCAATTGAAACTGCAATTTTCCAAATCAATCGAATCTACTAGAAATGGGAAAACTCCAGTCCTCTCTAAACCAGACGTCACGTTGAATTCGGAAACTTCTTGGGTTGAAGAACGAGTCATGGACACAACAGCATAACAAAGGAGGATGATTTAAGTGGTGTTTGACTTGGTATCTTAACTAAAGTTTATGAGTTATACAAACAAGTTGGCTACAAACAATGCCGATACTTTGGTAATTGTTGCACAAGTATATATGAAATATATGAGGTAATAAGGGGTTAAAAATACCAAAATTTCAGGTGCTATCGGGAGAAAGGATTTGGCCTGCCTTGGAGTGACCATTTTCTTAGCTTTGAGGAAAAAGAATGTAGGGTGAGTACTCAAATCTGTGTTGGTGTGTAATGTATTACTCTCATGCTGGTTTATAATGGCTTAGATTCTAGGGTATCTTCCTTGTCTTTTCTCTTCAACTTCATTCATCCAATCATTGAGCCAGAGGAGAACCTTGTAGCCATAGTATGATACTGCAACTAAAACCAACACAAGTGTAACAAGTAGAAGAAACCGCTTCACGTTGGAAACAATTTTCTGTCAAAACAAACAGTGGTCACAGTTAGCAAGTGAATATAGAGGCAGTTCAACTTCAAAGTGCTCACTTTTACTTTCATGGAGATACATACTTGCAGTGTCGAGATTTGTGTCACTTCTTGCACCCGTTCACGCCTTTTCTTTCGCTTTGGTCCATGCTTATCAGTATCTGGTTCCTTAACCTTCAAGACCAAAAAAAATAAAAATAAAAATTGCCGTTAGGATGACAGCAGCAAATCTAAAATTGCCAGTCATAATACCCGCATACATGTGGACCAGCAAAAGAAACTCTTCTGTTTGAATTTGAATATATTACCTCCACAGTTTTAGGCCTACGCAACTGTAGTTCTGAATCAATAACCTTTAGTTTGCTTTTGCAATTAGAATTGCAAGGAATAAGTGCATGTCCAAATTGATTCTTAGATATATCTTTGGGATCAGAACCAGCATTCCGATAGGCTGCCTGAACATCGTGACATAACCACTCCTTTTTCAAGCTCTGGCATGCACAACGGACAGTAACCTTGCATAGAGTTAGAAATCAGGTGAGAAAGCTAAATAGTACATGAACTAGTAATTTGTGCTAATAATATTCACATTCTTCTCCTTATAAACAACATGAAAAAATTCATTTAAAATCCGTCTTTCCTACTCTATTGATACAAAGTAAGAAGTATTTGTACCTTTTTAGAGCACTTCTCAGGGAATGAGCATTGACCAGGATGACAAAGCTCTGGGCACAGATGATTACAATAAGGCAACTTTCTGCACAATGAACACCAACTCTCAGCTCCTCTCTTAATTCAAAATTAAAAAATTTAAAATTTAAAAGAAGAAGCAAGAACTTGAATAATACTAAAAAGTAAATAACAAGCAGAAACCAAGATTTGTTTAGTACAATTGAGTTAAATTGCCAATAAACAAGCATGCAATACAGCAGAACAAGAGAAAGAAAGCATATACTATTACCTATGACAGGGCCCTCCACATGAACGAGCTGCCATTTGCTCCTTTTCAGACAAGCTGTTATAATATATGCACTCAAAAACATGGACCATGGAACCACAGTGACATGATCGCTTTACAAGAACCTTGCAAGGGGGGCAGTCTCCAGGGTGGCATGACAAGGGACAAGGATGAGAACATGCAGGCTCCCTCTCCTGAATCAAGACATTTACAGCAATCATGTAACCCATTAGTTTCAAAAGTATCTAACAAAACTGAAGATAATATTTTAGAAAAACAACCCTAAAGAAAATCAGCAGAGCAGTCTAATATAAGGAATAAATAACACCTTCTCGCAAGGAAGATGACACTTCTCACAAGGCTCACTTCTTGCTTGCTGGACTGATGGCAAAGACTGATTCTTGAGCGGGTGACAAGTTTTGGTGCAAAAGTGATTACCACAAGGTAGAGGATTTCCACACAAGTTTTCACAGGAAAATAGTGTTTTATCTGAGCAGACCATCTGATACGAGGAACAAACAAATGATAGTGGATGAGGACAAGATGATATAACAAAGTCAAGTTTATTTGATTTGAAATGTTCTGCTAGCAAACACAAACCATTCTCTCCACCCCAATGTGCTGGCCAACACATGACCTCCAAACATGTTCTGGGCAAGGAGGGCATGGAGAACCAGGAGTACATTCACTCTGATGAAGGGACTTCTTCTTCTTTGGTTTCAATGTAAATTCTGGATTCGGCGGAGGTCTAGGACCATGACACCTGAAAATTAACAAAAAATGAATTACGGAAAAATAGTGGTACAGAGGAGAGTATAATGGAGCTACACACCAGAGGATGGCTTAAAATAACAACAGTGCACTGAAAAATCCTGCAAACCTTAGCTTGCACTTGTGACCACATGGGTATTCTTCTTCACAAAGTACTCTACATGGGGGGCAAGCTCCATAATGGCATTTGTGTGGCTGGGGAAAGAACAAAAATGATTGTTATTACCATAGCTTGATATACATTGTTAAATGGATTAACATTTTTCTTGTCTCTAATAAATAAAACAAACAAAAAATGGAAATACCAAAAAGAAAAGATACACAAATGTTGGGAGAAGTAAATATAACTAAAACCAGCCCTCCAACTACAGTCCAAGGTATCTATCACTTGAACATTCATAACAGTTGAATGTTAGGAAAGTACAGACATGATAATTGTCACGCCATTAGTTTCAACCACCTAGATGCATTTTTTGGAATAAATCTAAGACACTCTTTTAAAGCTCTCAAGTAAATCATAACAACAATATTTGAGATAAACTAAGCCAAAGTAACCCCTAGTACCTTGCGATTTTTTCCATGCCTGCATAAAAGAGTAATAGGACATGGCTTAGGACATCTGGGAGGCTTTTGATCCATCTCAATACCACAAGGAACCTGAATCAAAATCCATTAAGCAGGTGACAAATACATCTTCCGACCAATTTGGCAAAGCAACTTAGAAGTAGTAAATTTCATTATGCAACATGCTACCAACCGGGTCTGTTTTTCTAAATCATAGAAACCAAGACAAACTAAGTAAAAGAAATGAGAAAAGAACAAAAAGTACAAACGCTTTTGCAGCAGTCACAAGCAAGGCCACCATTAGTACATATGTTATATATCATGATGAAATATTCAGAATTACCATCTAAGTACAAAGATGAACTAAATAATCCGCAATGAGAAAACTCGCACCTCAAAGTGTGTCTCGCCGCATAAACATGCAATCGTCACCATCACTGGGCAAGGAGCGCAAGCACCTCTGCAGGAACAAAACTCTACTTCAGAAGTTCACAAACTAAAAGCTTTTCTTTTTTAGCTAGGGCTTCAAACTATTCACTTATTTTTCCTCTAATACAAGTAGACTTTTCATAGAAACACGTAAGTTTAAGAATGCAATGCCGGACTTGTCATATTGATTTCAATTTCTCATAAGTTTAAGAAACACTTAAGTTGTGTGCGTTATTGTGCTCTAAATGGAGGTGTACTAGTATGATAAGCTGATTAAAATACATTACAGATTGAGACTAATAGCAAGAAATGACACACCAGTTTTAAAGCCAAGAGAAGTTCATAAGCTGAAAAAACAGGGTTCCTATAATAATGAACAGAATGTACCAGCACTTTTCCCTTGAATTTTGTCCTTTCAACTAATGGACTACAGGCCATAATCTTGCACAGCCATGTGATAGGGTAACATACCTATGGCATGGAGATGGGCACTTGTGGTTCTTACATCGAAGCTTTCTGCCACAAACCTAATAGTTCAAAAATCAATACAATACAAATTATTTGTAGACCTAAAATAAGAAAGCAGTAAGAGAGAGAGAGAGAGAGAAACCTCCGAGCACGGCGGGCAGTCCCCATCACAGCAGCGACGCTTGCAAGCATGGCGCCCACAATCCCTTTGTCTCTGGCACTTCCTTTCGCATGTCAAATCTTGATGGCAAGGAACCTATTCTAGATCCAATTGCACTATCAGTGATTTTATAAATAAATAAAAAAGAACTCAAATAATCCCTCTATAATCCAAAGACATCTAAATTTGAGCAAAATAGCAGACATCATACCTCCTTCTTCAAGCTCCCGCACCGGCATGACTTGATGACAACCGTTCTGCAAGTCACAATGCACTGTCCACGATGACACCTCTCCGGGCACCTATGGTAGCCACAACTAAGCATCTTACTACAAGTTGCACCACACAAAGGCACAGAGGCTTTGCAAGACAATCCTTCATGTACTGTCTTCCCACAGGGGCATGTCCTCTTCCCCTGAAATGGGCATGGTCCACAATCCTCCGAATGACAGCCTTTACTACACTTATGTTGCCCACACCCAAGAACCTTTTCACATGGCTCCTCACACCTAAAATCAAGCCTTTCACAACACTCCCTCTCCTCCTCTCTCTTCCCACATTGGCACCGGTACACTGCCAGAACCGGGCATGGCGGGCAGGGCCCCTGATGGCAAATCTCCGAGCAGCAGTGGACCCTACAAGCCAACAACTTCTTACAAACATTGTTACATGAGAAATTCTTAAACCCACATCGCCGAACGTCCTGCACAGACCCACAAAAGCATCGAGCTTTTACGAGCTTTGGACAGGACGGGCAGGGACCCGGGTGGCACAGAAGCAAGCAATGGTGGCCGCAGCTGTGATTCAGAGGCCTATTGCAGACCTCACCGCACGAGTGGGGCAAAACCCACGGGTCATCGCTAGGTGGGTTCTCGAGTTTTCCACAGAAACAGAAATAAGTCTTGGGAATTTGGGATTGGGGGTACTCTACCCTACATTTGGGACAGTTCCAGAGGGATACCTCGGCCGCTTTCTGAGCAGAAATGGGAAGGCGCGTGGAAGCCCGTAAGGCGGACAAATCGGAGGCCTGGCGCGCCCAACTCTGGATGCAAATGAGGTGGAAGACGGAGAAACAGACGGAGGTGCAAGACCAGGTCGGGTGGGCGGGTCGGATCCGCTCCAGGCATATGAGGCATGAAAGAGCGCCGGAGGACGATGAGGTCAGGAAAGATTGGATCTTGGAAAGGTCGGTGTTGGTGGCTGATGATCGGCCGGTGAATTCCAAGTATGATCGGAAAATGGAGTCCGAGAGGTCCGAGTGGCGGACGGGTTCGGATCCGGATTGGCTCTGGTCGGAGTCGGTGTCGGAGTCCGAGTGGGGTGAGGACATTTTGGGAATTTCGGTATGAAGCAGTTATCTATTCCGGTTTCGCAGAGCGCGGCAGATTCAGAGTCTGTTTAGAATTTGAGCGCCACGTAGTTGGGAGCCTCTATTATTCGGATTCGGAATTTGGTGCATCCGTTTATGGGCCAGTGAGCCTCAAAATAATGAAGCCCATTCAACATTTGGGCGGGCCCATGAAGTCCAACTAGCCCATTTACCTAGAATAACTAATAAATTATCAAATAATGCAAAAGATTTCAAATTTTATTGTGAAGTACAAACTGTTCTCTTCTCAATTACTTCCATGTTACAAATTTATACACTCCCAGATACACAACGTGCATATAAATCACACAGAGAGAACTAAATGCATAACCATATACATACAAGCTCACAAACAAAATTTACACACAATGTAACACAGCAAAAGGCTTTACATTATTGTAGCGTGTTCTTCTCTGTTCTCTGCCATTACAACGTCCACGAAACTGGTTTCAAACAAATTCGAAGTGCATTAGAAGCTTTACGGATTTGTACTTATCTCCCTTAGGGCTATGTAAGGGTTTCACACAAATTCGAAGTGCATTAGAAGCTTTACAGATTTGTACTTTTCTCCCTTACGGCTATGTAAGGGGACCGCTCGAATCCCTTTTCTTAGCTCCGACACCGGTAGGCACGTTTGACCTCCAAAGTCATCCTTTTCTGACATGTCATACTCGTGAACTTCAATACGAAGCACGGCGAGTTCTGGAACAGTTAATGGGAATTCAAATTCCTCATCCCAAGCTGGAATCCAGTCGTCCTCTAGGGTCTTTGTCTTCTTCATCACAGTATCAGCAGCAACTCCCGCAATCCCTACCTGAATGTATAAATAAAATCATATTGTCAATTCCTTGGCATACACGATTCAGAAATTTTCAAAAACACTGGTATAACTATGAAGCATCCAGACAAAAGCCACAAGACTGGGAATGGGGAGTGGTCAAAGATGCGGGTGAACAAACCCACGAGACAACAACAAAGTGCACAAACGATCAAGTTCCCAAGTATGACAACAGAAATTAAGGCATCACTGGGTTAGTTTGTATTGGCCTGGTGCTGTTGCTGGGTAGCGTATCTTCTGTGGTTTAAGGCATCTTCTTTTGGCTGATTCCACCATATTTTCCTTTTTCTCAGGGTTCTTCCTTTTTTTTTCTTTAATAATTCTAATTTACCCCAAAAGAAAAAACATAAACAAGGGCATTCATATCAAAAGTCAAATCAGAGAACAGGTAGCCAGATGAATTAAAATGCTGTTGTAGTCTTCAACTTACCCTTGCATAAAAATCTGGGGGCGAATATGCATCAAAGTGTGTGTGCTTGAAATCATAAAACCATCCTTCTCCCATATATACTTTTACCTTTTCAAGGGAAAATGAAAGAATAACCATTAGCTATGAGATAGAACAAAATGAAGAAATGAACATTATAGCGACAAGAAGCTTAAGAATTACTGACAAAAGTCTGAAACCTAGCAATAAAGCACTCACCTTCAAAGTTGTTTTAACTGGTAACTTATATTTAGGATCGAAGACCTCATTATGTGGACCAGTCTTCAACAGAAAATCCGGTTTTTTCACATAGCCGCACCCACCATTGGCTCTAAACATTCCTTGCATCACCCACAGTGATCTTCCATATCCCTGTCACAGGGAAACCCATTCAAAGCAATTCCAAGAGGTAAACTTCTGGGAAAAAAAAAAATTCTTGCAAAACCAGAGTGATCTTGCGCTGATTCTAAAACCAACACTAGGACCAACAAAACACACCAAAATAGCATAAGCCTAAGTGCCACATATTACTCTTAAAGTCATAATGCTACTCCTCAGAACTTCACCTGATTGACGGTTATTGACACAAGTTCACTCCAAAAGGAGAATAAAAAAACAATATTAATTATATAGCAGAATGGAAAATAAATAAGCACTACCAATATGGAAAACTGGACTTTTAAAATGAATAAAAAATCATTACCTGCATATTAAATGCAACCATTTGGGCCCCATGAGACCACCCAATCATTGGGTTGTAGTTCGATGAGTCAACGCGTATGCCCTTTGGGTACACCCTCAGAATATTCCTCTGGGTAAATCTATATGAAACCAATCATCAGAATGGAAATTTGATTTAGTATTGGATAAATGCTTGTGTTATCAAAAGGTTTTTGTTTTTTTCTTCAGCTAGAGTACAGACAGAGCGAATTTTCTTTTCTATGGGATGTCTAAGTGATGGTTGTTTTAGGGATGAGGATTCTATCTTCAGTTTCTAGTTCACAGCTATGTTTGTCTACACACAATTACTAAACAAATTGAACTAGTGCTAATTTATCTAAAGGTTTAAGTAAATAGGTTGGGATAAGGTTAACTGGCACTTAACAACACTTGAAATAACACGACACAATTTTCGCCCTAGTGCTACATTTGTATTGTAGTAAAAAATAGTGGTATGTAATTGCCATGCCATAGATGGGAAGAAATTTAAGAGATCCCTTTACTAGTTCACAAAAGATTTGGATCAAATACCTGACAATTTCCTTTGCGTAAACTTCTGATGCCTTTTCAAGCTGTTGCTCACTTAAGCTAAGACGCCGCACTTTATCAGGATCTACTTTGAGACACTCCAACAATCCACCTTTGGGTTTCCCAGCATGAATGGCAATTAAACGCTTATATTCGGGTGCTACATGTTGTGGGGACTTATCATTATCTTCCTCACCGTTGCTATCATCTTCATCCAATTCATCCTGCTGAAAAAACAACTGAAGTAAAACAAAAAACAAAAATTGGCACACTGAATCAGCAAAGCAGCAAGTTACGCAAAAAATCACCACACCTTGTCATCTGCCACAATTGCACCTTTGTGATCCGGTACTTCTTGACCCCAAGCTTCCTCATCAACTTGGGTTTTTCCGCTCTTCGGATCATTTTCACTTTTCACAGCATCTTTTGCCTCGAGATATTCCTGAGGTGGTTTGGTCGATATAATAATCTTTTTCTTTAGTGATTCTGGGGATGGAAATTCTTTCAGGCACTCTGAGCCAGGTGAAAACAGCATGTCTCCAAATGTTTGAGTAACCAACTAAAAATTGGTGACAACACAGTAAATATCAGAACATGAGAGCTTAAAATCCTAATAAGGAAATCACAAATACCCACCTGAGCGACTTTAGCTTGAAGATCAGGGGTAAGATGGTCTTCTAAAGTTATTACAACAGGGTATTCAGATGCAACAAAGGCATGTTCCTTAATAGACTTCAAACACTTGATAAGTTGCACTGGTGTAGTCAATGTCCTATAATAAAACAAACCCAGTTTCTTCTCAATTTGGTACCAACAAGAAAACATACCTATACTATACAAGGCACTATTACATTACCATTTTTAACAAATTTGTCCAAATGGGTACCAACATTACAGCAAAAGATTGCAAATTTCATAAGCATACATACCCTCCATGAAGTACATCCACATCATCCTTTGCGGAATTAGGCCAAATATCCAACTCAATCACCCTCACTCCTCTATGAAGCGCTTGTATGATAGGAACATCACTGCAGTCACTGCTCAGCTGGTTCCCAGTCAGATATGAATTGTGCCCTGTGTGTATGAAATAATGCGACAGAGGCGCGCTCATATCATGATGAACCTAATCACAAATGAAATAAACAAAAACTAAAACTAAAAATTCATAACAAAAACAAAACAAAATGAACTAAATTGAGAAGAAGAACAAGAACAAAAAAATTCGATAAAAAATGAAAGATGAAAATGTAAGGAGAGGTACCCCAATGGAGGGCGAGAGAGGGGGATTGATGTCGCCGAAGAGGTACTTGAAGAAGGTTTCGAGATTGAGAACCTTGCGGTGGAAGATGCTGAGGTGCTTGAGCTCGCGGAGGCAATGGTCGATGGTAGCCTGAGCTTCCTCCTTGGTGGCCTTCTCTTCTTTCTGGACTTCGGTCAAGAACCTATGGAGGTGATCGACGGTCATGACGTCATTCTCCGAGTACTGATCGAACAAGGCCTTGATCTCCGGCGGTGCTTCCGATATGGCGAGCTTGAACCGTCGCTGGAAGCAGAAACACACTCTATAGGTGGTCTGTTTGGACATGGGGATCGGCTCGTTCGGGATCGGAATCCGGAAGCGGAGGATTTGGGAATGCGTCGGTCTGTCCTGTCCTGTCCGGTGTTTGATTGTTTGATTGGTTCCAGGAACAAGAAATTGGATGGGAGAGTGTAGTAATTCCAGAACAGTGGTGGGGAATCGAGTGGGGCCCAGACCCCAGACAGTTGGGTTAACTTTTACTTTACACCTGGCTGATGATAATTGTTATTAATTTTGATTAATGAGATAAGGTGTAGCTTTGCCATATTCAGCTTCAAATAAAATGGATAAACTTAGCATATTTTTTTAAAAAAAAAAAAAAACAAATATTTTATGATTAACAAGTCTCTTGGGCTACACCTATATTTGTTTTTCCTGTTCTGCCTTTGAGAAGAACATGCTCAATTTCCCTATTTAGAAATGTCTATAAACATTCTTCTCATATAAAGAAAAAAGTCTGTAAAATTTTTTATTTTTGTGTTTTATTTCATATGAAACTTAATTGATTGAGAACATTTATTCTTAACTTACCCAATGTAGAAAGAATATTGCATAATTTTCAATTAATTATTATAATATAAAGAGTGAACATTTAGAGTATCTCCAACAACCACTTCAACAACTTTTGAATTTTAAAATATGTGAGCCACATAAGAAAAACTATCTCTAACAGCCTCTTCAACCTCAGTTATCAAAGCTGCAACAAAACCAAAACCTATCTTGAAAATGTTAAAAACATGCATTTTTTCTTTTTATATAATAAATACATAGACATTTTTCACATGTTTTCATTGTTTTTTATTTTTTATTTCTAAAATATTGCATTAATTGAATTGAAGAGTTTATTAGAGCAAAAATTATTCAAGTAACAAATAAGGTTTTTCAAATTACCACGTAAATCAATAACCTTCAATTTAAAAAGTGTTATTTACTACTGCTGTTAAAGATGCTTTTACCTTCTTTTTTTTTGGTTAACCAATTAAATACTTTTTTATTATATTTTAAGGATGATTGGATCCAAGAAGCAATATAGATAAGATATTCCTTATTAGTTGGCAACGTGTTTGGTGAGGCTTGCAATGTTCAATTATTAATTAATGAAAATATTAAATGGTAATAAATCAACACACATTAATAGTGGTGTAGTGGTACCATGACGGCACCATCCCAGCTATCAAACAGGACCACGTCGGATCAACCACCAACATCTACATGGATGGACATGGATGGATCTATCGAGTCTTTGACTTTTTGAATTTTGGAATGGAAATGCATTAACTTGGACGACCCCGCATAATTTACTTACATCTTCTTCATGTCGGCATCTTTTCTTTTCCAATTCTTTTTTCCTTTTTAGTGCTTTATCTTGATCATTTTGTTAAGGGTTAAGTGACACCGATAATTCACATTTACTTAGGTATTAAAGAATCTCAACTGGTAAGGAGCTTATATTTGAAGTGGTTAAAGACAGTTATTCATGCACCTGAAATCATGTGTTCGAATTCCTCCTCCCTATTATCGCTTGAATAAAAAATCTCGACTATGTAATAAGGGAAGATTAAAAGTTAATGCGTATTATAAAGGTGATCCCACTGGCAAAACTCATGAGTCATGATGAGTCAATGTCATGGCTTCAATACAAGGCAAAGCTAAAACATAATCAACACTCTCACTGATTACTAATTACACATGGACCTGCATACAGCTGATGTTGTTGAAGCCACAACAAAAATTTAAACAGAGATGCAGGGGGGAAGTGCCTTTATCCTGAAGTATTAGGCAGTTCTAAGTTCACACAAACTGAAACCGCATTAGAAGCTTTACAGATTTGAATTTCTCTCCCTTTTTATCATAAAGGGGCACTGCCCTAATCCCTGGCTTTAGCTCGGAGACGGGCAAACAGTTTTGCCCGCCAAAGTCATCTTTCTCAGACCTGTCATACTCTCGAACTTCGATTCGAAGTATGGCAAGCTCTGGAATGGTTAGAGGGAATGTAAACTCTTCATCCCAAACAGGTATCCATTCATCCTCAATTATCTTTGTTTTTTGCTTGCCACAATCAGCTGGCACTCCAACAATATAAACCTGCCATAAACCCCAACACAAGACTTTCAGTTGGCTTGGCACACACCAGTGGATTAGCTTCCAAGTTGAACATTCAAAGAAACATAAAATTAGCTTAATACAAAACAAAATTGATCTGACCTTTGTGTAAAAGTCTGGTGGGGAGAAGGAATCAAAGTGTGTTCGGCTAAAATCCAAGTGCCATCCAGTTCCCATGTATACTTTTACCTGTCAAATAACATCCATGTTCTGAGGCCATTGCAAAACTGCCAAAAATGAACTTCACTTTTTAATTTAAAGAAAATATGCTCACCTTCAATGTCTTTTTCACTGTCAAGGTCTTTTTAGGATCAAAAACCTCATCATTTGGACCCTTGTGCATCAAAAAGTCAGGCTTTTTTACATAACCACATCCTCCATTGGCTCTAAACATCCCATGCATCAACCAATTGTATTTGTCATTTCCCTGTTAAAGAATTTTTGACATGTTAGCAGGTTTCTATATATCTGTCAAAGATAGAATTATATTAGTTTAGAAAACAAATAATCCCTTTATTTGGACCTTGAAACCTTGAACTTGCAGCTAACCTCTGACCAAACAAAAAATACTTGAAACTAACCTGCATATTAAATGCAACCATTTGAGCTCCATGCATCCACCCAACATGTGGTTTGTAATTCCCAGAGGTGAATCGAGTTCCTTTCGGGTACACCCTTAGAATATTCTTACTTGTGAACCTAGAGAACATAGCACAACAGCAAGTTACAGAATCATTAAGCAGTAGAACAACACAGATATTGATGGGATGAGTTAACTTTGTGCAGGTACTACCTTAGGACATCAGTTCCGTGATCCTCAGCAGCCTTTTCAAGTTTCTGTTCGCTCAAACTAAGACGTCGAACTTTATCACCAACAGCAAGAGCATCCTTCAATTCACCCGAAGGTTTTCCAGCATGAATTGTTATAAGACGTTTGTACTCAGGTGCTGATTGTTGGAATGATTTGGCTTCGGCTGCATTGGCCTTGTCAATAGCTGGCTCACCATCACTCCCACTCTGTAGCCAGTATAAGAAGTCATGTGAAGAAGCCAACCCAGAAACCAAATTGGGAGATAAACTAATTGCATTGCATTTCTCAGCTGACCTTTTCATCTTCTTCAGATGAATCCTTTGATCCACTGCCTTCTTTTGGTGGTTTTGTTGAGATAATAATTCGATTTTTTAAAGATTCAGGTGATGGGAACTCTACCATCTGGTCTTCTGCCTCCGGATAATACAGCGTGTCTCCAAATGTTTGGATAACCATCTACATTGTGCAAAATCATAAATTCGAGGTCACAAAGAAGAAAATGCAAAATTTAACTAAAATTGTAAACCTTTATAGACAAGATTTGAATAGACCATAAGTAAGAGATTATGCAAGAACTAATGGAAGCTCACCTCTGCAACTTTAGCCTGAAGCTTGGGAGTAAGGTGGTCTTCGAAAGTAATAACGACGGGGTATGGAGATTTAACAAAAGCATGCTCTTTTATGGACTTCAAGCATTTGACCAATGTTACAGGAGTGGTCAAGGTCCTGCAGTGCACATAATTTATTTAACCAGAACACCAATTAAAATGAGATGGATTTTGTAATGAGCTGAGCTAGTGGTTAAGTATAAGTACCTTCCATGAAGAACTTGAACATCATCTTTGGCAGAATTTGGCCATAAATCAAGTTCAATAACTTTGACACCTTTTTCCAATGCCTTGATGATTGGGACATCACTACAGTCACTACTAAGTTGATTCCCAGTAAGGTAGGAATTGTGCCCTGTGTATATGAAGTAATGTGATATTGGAGCAGTCATGTCATGGTGTATCTGCAATCACATAAACATTTGTCAACAACAAACCTAATATAATGCTAATGTGGTGGTCCCTCTATCAAACATAAGTTCTTAAAAAATATAAACCTCATAACAAACGCTGCTGCTGCCAAATGTTTTCTTACCAGACTTATGTTATTAGACTACTATGATCCAAAAACAACATTTTTTATCGTGTTTTTGGAGTGGCAACATCAAAACAAAATAAAAATGGGTGTGAGTTTGTGCCTACCTGTTTTTTCATGGGTTCTTCTAGAAACAGGAAATTGAAGAAATCCTCAAGGGTGAGGCCCCGCACGTGCTGGTGGTGGTGGGCGGCCTCGCCCGGGTGGCTCCGCGAGAACTCCTGGAGGATGCGGTGGGCGTCGGAGAGGGTGACGGCGTCGGCCGGCTCGCCCTGGTGCTCCACCAGAAAGCTCCGGAACTGGTCCACGGACATGAGGTCCCCATCCTGCGCGAACTTGGAGAAGATTGCCTTGACGTCGGGCGGTGGGCCCCCCTCGCTGGCCTTGAACTTCCTGTTGAAGCACTTGAACATCTTGTAGTTGTAGCTGCTATCCCCCATTGCCTTCTCAATCTGCTCTGCTTTCGATTTCGATTCGATCTTCTTCTCGGTTTCTTTTTGTAGCGTTTTTTCAAGTGCTGGGTCGTTGGATCTTCTCGGGATTGGATTGGATGAGAAAATAAGAGAAACAGGGGAGTAACAGAGACAATCAAACGATGAAGGAAGAGGGAGAGAGGGGGTGCCTAGAATTCAGGTCGATCGCTGGACGTTAACAACCAATCAACTCCTCTAACTCCAAAAACTTGTTCCGTTTCAAATTAGTATACTATTTTATTTTTAAGTTTCTAGGGGAGAGCCCATTTCAATTTACGTGTCCGAGAAATAAAAAGACAAATGAGTTAAGACTTAAACGAGGTTGTTGTCTTCTTTCCAGCTTCCTTCAATGACTTTTCTTTTTTTTGGGTGAAAGAATGACTTTTCTTTTTCAGTCACATTATTTTACACTCTTTTTTTTCTTTTCTTTTTTTATAGATATAAATAAGTATAAATGCTCAACTGTTGCCTTGCCTGTTGGTGAGAGTAATTGAATATATTTTAGTAATGGAGTAGGCAGGCAGGCATACAATAAGATTGATACAAGACAGATCCGCCTGCAGCTGCCAAGACTTTTGGATCAACGAAGAGGCAGGATCTGAACCATGAAAAAGTTCGATAATGACAAAACTCGGTCTTAAATCCACTTGGCATAATCGGAAGCATGTAAGAGATAGTTAGCATGTCCCAGTCCCACGTGCAAAACAAGGAAATTTCACCCGCCTGTTTAGGGCAACTTAAGTAATAGTTAGGGTTATTTTTCTTTCGCCTACTACAGTTTGATTGCTGCTTCCTCTTACATGCATGTATTAATTGAAAGGATAATTTATTTTTATTTTTTTATAAAATAATATTCTAAACTATTCTAATATAATCTCCGAGAGTAGCTTGCACTCGGAAGTTGTAAGTTTGAAGAGGGTTGTAATTAGAAATTGAAATGTCCAAGTCTAGCAAAACGAAGAGACAAGGACCATTTATTTTGTACCCAAAAAAAGCTTAAACATAGACGAGTTACCATAGGCTTGGTTTACCGACCCAAAAGAGGACAGGCTTGGTTTAGACGTCAGGACAAGGTTTGATAGTTTGGCCCAGCTTTCGAACATACGTTAATCCAGTTGACAGGCCCACAAACACAGAGATACAATCGCAGACTCACAAGCGCAGCGTACAAGCCTACCAATGCAGTGAACCAGTGGACTTGGAAAGAGGAAGCAGAGAGAGATGACCACCAGAAGAAGGTTGGTTTTGGCAGCAGCTGTTTTGTGGGTTTTGCTGCTCTTCGGCATCTTATTTGTATGTGGTAGAAACTCCAACGCTATTTGTTGTTATTTTTTGCAATCTTATTTTCTCTTCAAGATACATATTCTCCAAATTGTTTTACGATTGTCTTGTGATTTGATTTCAGACTCGATTTGGCGACGATGGGGCTCTGCACGAGCCAAAAATTGGCAAAAGCGAGATCCTTGAGGTGAGGATTCTTGTTCTTAACAACCAGTTTTCTGTGGAAACCAATTTCCAGAGCTTATAATATTTGGTGTTTCTATGTTTGACAGGAAGAGGATTTGGAGCAAGTGACCCACAAAGTTTACTTCGATATCGAAATCAACGGAAAACCCATTGGTATGAATTCTTCATCAGATGAAAACCCATTGTTAATTTCTCCCACTAACTTCTAAACTTCAATTCAAAGTTGAGAATTTTGTGCTTGTGGTAGATTACTTGGCAGAGGCAATGTTGTTACCTTTATATTATTCATGTTCTATTTTGCTTCAGGTCGCATAGTCATGGGTCTCTTTGGAAAAACAGTTCCTAAAACCATAGGTGGGTACCCCAGTAAAGTGCAGACAATTTTCTTATGTGTGTGTCCATTGAGATATATTACTATGAAAAGAGTTGATCAAAGTTTTCTGTTTCAAATGCAGAGAATTTTCGAGCACTTTGCACGGGTAGCCAAGTAACTTTAGCTCCCTTACTGTGATCTTTGATTATTTGGATGGAAGCCACTGCATTTTTTGTTGTTATTTTCAATTTTTAACGAGCCCTCGGGGTTTCAGGGGAAAAAGGAACTGGAATGAGTAGGAAGCCTCTTCACTACAAAGGAAGTGCCTTTCATAGGATTATTCCCAGCTTTATGATACAGGGAGGCGATTTTACTCTTGGTGATGGACGAGGTGGAGAATCAATTTACGGCGATAGCTTTGCAGATGAAAACTTCAAACTACAGCACACTGGGCCAGGCAAGCTAAAGTCTTCCATATACCTAGATAGTTTCTTGCAAAATTTCTTCCAAAATGTAGACTTATCGGTCTTCAAGTTAAGCTAAAACTGCAAAATGTGCGAAGTGTATTCTTGCCTATCTGAATCTTAAACTCTCTGTCTGACAAGCAGGTATTTTGTCAATGGCAAATGCCGGGCCAGACACGAATGGATCGCAATTCTTCATTACAACTGTCAAAACTAGCTGGTACGTTTCATTATTTCCATTTATGGGAATATATAATCCTAGAACTCGCAACTAGATTGATCGAGTCGTATGATTACGAAGTAGGTTATGGTTCTGACAGGAATGCTTTAGCCTCCATCTTTGAATGGAATGTTTCTAACTTGAAATCCTACATTTTGCTTTGCTTTTGATTTTAAGGTTGGATGGGAGGCATGTCGTATTCGGCAAGGTGCTTTCTGGAATGGATGTTGTGTACAAAGTTGAAGAAGTAGGAGGACAGAATGGGGTGCCTAAGAGTAAGGTTGTCATTACAGACAGCGGCGAACTTCCATTGTGACTTCTTGTACTAATGTTCTTACATACAAATGATAAGCGGATTCTTCTTTCTTTGAAAAGTTATTCAACATAACATATGTGTCTGTTCATGTTACACAATACTGATACGTGTATTTACTATTATTCAAAAAGACTCTTTGATTCAGTTACTTGGCTAAGAGTGCCTCACTTCTTCAATTACATCCTTAAAACACCACCCCAAACAACACACTAATTGCATCATTCAACAAACCAATCAATACAGCATATTATTGGTTCATTGATTTATTATTGACCAAATGGGGTAACAGACTCAAACACACACTTTTGTTTTAATACAAGTGACAGTTTAAACTAAATAATCAAATTTACGAGACTTAGGGGCAAGTCCTAACCAACTGGCCTAAAACAACTCAAACACTATTATTACAACACTGCAAAAACCCTAGCTGCTTGCGACTATTGAATTCAACTCAAATTCCAAAATGATGATGGGGTTCGAGTACATTCTACTGAAAAACAACACTAGTTTGTGGGCTTGGCGTTGGCGTTGTCGTTGCGGTGGTGAAAGAAGGTGGAGAAATTGGAGGAGAGGTCGGAGTAAAGCGAAACGACCTTGGAGATGTTGCCGTTGATCTCTTGGATAAGGCCCACGTTCTTGACCATGTTGTCGGCGACTCGAGAGCGGTGGTTGTCGTTCACCTGCTGGATCAGGGCTCGGTTCCGATCCAGTACGGCCTGTACCTCGCGGAACCTGCGGTTAAACTGGTCCCACACCTCCGCATCCTCGGCTTCCTCTTCTTCGTCGACTGAGAGTGAGCCCGAAACGCTGCGTTTAGTTGGCGTTTCTTGGTGGTTGAAGTCCATACTCGATTCCGCTCCGGAGGAGGAATCCCGGGTGGTCATGAGCATGGAAAACGTGCGCTATTGGTCGGGTCGGACAAGGAAACAATATCTAGCAATCAAAAATACATCACCAGGGACCGCAAAATAAATTTGTTTGCCTTAAACATAAAATGAGGTGCGTGCTAGACTAGTAATGCTAAGTGCAAATAATTAAATAATGACGTTTAATTAAAATTACAATGATCTCATTAACATTCATCAAAATTACCAACTAGCTTTTCCAATGTAGGAAAAATTACAAATTGGGACAATGATTCAGAAAGGATGGATCAGATGAGAGGTAGAGTAGAGGGTACAGTACAACTAGTCAGTTGGCTTCCTTCCTCTTCCTCCCAAGTACAGAAGCTCTCTCGAATCGGGGGCCACCTATCCGCCACTTCTTAAAGGCCGCCATTGACGACTGAGCTGCCTCATACACTAAAAACAATTGTGTAACCATTTTGGGTCAACATTCATATAGAAGAAGTTTGCGAGACAGTGATGAAAGATATGATAAAACATGTAGGGTGACATAAATCTTACGATTGGTTTCTTCTTTTGTTAAGTACGACAGCAATTTTGAATGTGCTGTAAATGCTGCGTTATGTGCCTTTGCCAGGATTTTCTGATACCTGGTCCTAAATGCAGATAATAGGAATGATCCCATGTCTCTATCACCAACCCTATCCATCCAAATGATTCAAACAAAATAAAGAAAAAACCAGTTAGAATCAGTTTGTCTGGCCACAAATAGTACATGTGAACAGCACAGATTGTTGAGTGTCCAATTTACCACCCAAAAACAAGAACAGAAAATAAATCATCCAGTTGTATTTCTTTGGATTCAGACAAGAAGCATCAGTCAACACTAAATGCCCTCCTACCAGATCATAAACCACACTAGGCCAAGTCTACAAAGTGAAGGTCCAAATGTTAAACCAAGAGTGCCAAGCCAACCAATAAATGTCCAATTCTCAACGTTATACATATTGGTTTTTCTTTTTCTATTTTCGCTTTTAGCGTTTTTCTCATTCACTTTTGTGTGTCAGATATACTAAATTAATCTATTGTATGTACCTGACTTTCATAGGAGAAACTCAGGGATTTATATCCCTTGACCAAAATTTTCAATAGCTGATGTTGGAGAAATTGAATTACTTCAGGAATAGTTTTCATTTTCAAATTGACAAAGAACAAGATCATGACAATTCACAGTGAAAAAAGTTAATCCAGAATGGGAGTCTTGTCATATACCATTTTCTCAACCTCTACCACACTAAGGTTCATTTATATGAAATATCCACCTATTAGATAACTCAAAGAAAAGCATAAAGAGAACACACTGATCAAGTTATGTATACAAGAAATGGGTAGGAGAGAGACTCACAGCGGTGCTATCTTGCATCCAAATTCATAGAAGTATAGACATCGAGATCTTAAATCCACAGATGCACCATCAGCCCCAAGTTCCAGTTTTGTTCTGACAAAAGAAGAAATCTACAAGGGTTAAATATGTAATACCAATCACTAATTTTGAACTTTGAACTTGAATCACATAAGTCACTCTTCATGTCTTCCCCAAAATCTAATACATGCCTGGGGGCTGGTAACAACTATGTTTGATCAATACCAACTAATAAATTCAATGATATGACAATTAAAACATAATATAACGCATAGAAGAAATGTCTGGATATCAGATTTCAAAGACGAAAATAATTGAAAACCGATTACCACTTGCCAGAATGAATCTCCCTGCAACTCAGCCCTAAAAAATGGCCATAAATTATTTTGAAATAAACCTATACAGATCATTACCTTTGATTGAAACATGCAGGAACCTTCATCTTTGCTACTTTTCTGAGGTGTAACTCGTGAGCAAGCCAGTAAGGCAGCTCTACCTTTGAACCGGGTTCAACCTGAAATACAGGCCCAAGAAGATATAAGAAAATATCTCCTTTGAACAAAAACCATTCACTCCAAATCCACTCTGGGCACTTACACAATGGGTTTCAGCACTAGGATCAATATCAACCCCATTTACTGCTTGCTGGAAAACAACTGGGACACGCTGCTTGGAAACAGCAAACATGTTTAGAACACAGAATTAAAATGACCAAGTAAATAAAGCAAATGGAGTTTAGATGTGAAGGATACAAAGAGACGAGAATTAACCTGTTCCTCCACAAGAATATCATCAATGTCATAGTAACTTGCCATTTTCAGAAAAGATCCCACTCGCCGTACAATGCTCCCTGCCTTCTCCAGAACAGACTCCTGCAGCAACGGATCCATGAGCCCGCAAAACCCAAAATGACATATAGAATGTAAGGCTAAAATTTTGACATTCTAGTTTAATAAAAGGTATTTAAAGCGGTCTTAATTGCTTAGGATTTCCCATATTTATGTGACAGTGTTGCATTTGAAAAAATTTGGGTTTACGATGTGTAATTGGATTCTGCAGACATATCGAACCAACGGATTCAAGATTTCTTGTTTATGCCAATTCAAAATGAAGGGATACCAAATATCAACAAGTTATGAACTCTAAGAAGCATTTTGACAAACAAGTTGCAGGCAAGAAACAGACCTTATTGATTTCATAGAAGAAGCACATATAATTATTTTCTTTCTTTCTCAGGCCGAGTATAGGGTAAAGACTACTCAGAAAAAGAGATAAAACCCACAAATACCCAGTTAGTAAAACATACATATCCAAATAATCCTAACTTTAAAAGCAAGAATCAGATCAAGCGGACCATGAATCTACAGCATCACATAGCTAGCCAAAATATGGAACTAAAATTCTCTAAAATCCAATCTGAAATGACGATAAAGAGTTGAAATAATTATATCGAAGTTCAGAATTACCTGAGTTCTTGTTTCCCTTTTTCTTTTTTGGGGGTGAAATCTGTGGCCGACGAGAGAGATTTAACTAAACGAAGGGAAAAAGACGATCCAAAAAATGAAATGAAAAGGAGGGAAACTCAAAATATTGGAAGAGCCTATACATTTTTTAAAATTTTGAAAGAGTAAAGCCGAGCGGCTATAATTTAGTGTTTATTTTTTTATTTTAAATAGTACGACCGAGCGGCTATACTGTTGTCTTTGATCTCTCTCCCTCTTGTAGGTCATGGACTCAAATCTGTTACTCTCTTTAAAACATTGGATGAGAGATGTTCTAGCTTAGTTAAAACATTGGATTCTGCAAAGCAAGAATGATTTTAGAGAAGAAAATACGATCAGGTCATATCAAAGGACAAGGCTGATGAAGATCAAGCTTTGAAAACAAAAGCTGCTCTAGAGAAAGCTGCAGTTGTGCAAGAGCATTCAAATACGGAAACACAAAAGAGAGAAGATGCTTTGAGGGAAGAATTTGCTACTAGTTTGGCTGAGAAGGTGGTGATCCTCTCTCTCTCTGGACAGTGGATGCTAGTTGACTTGTTGAGAGTGATCTAATTGTATTGTTCTGATTTACTCTTGCAATTGTTAGTTGTTGTGAGTTGGCTTTATGTCTCCTCCATATTAAGAACAGAAACAATTCCGTTCTACTCTCATTATCACAAATGCTTTCATGCATTAGGCCAATGCCGGTCAAAAATCCAATGATTCATATGATATTTAAGGGCTGGTAAGGACAAATTAATATCAAATGATTGTTGAGTAAAATTAAATTTTTTGTTTTTATTTTATTCATTTTTCTTCATCTTTCATGCCGTTTTTACATGTTTTCTTATCTCCTCACCCCCCCACCACAAAAGAAGAAGAAGAGGAAACTCTGAAAAATCGACCTAGGCGGCCGCCTAGGCGACTCCTAAGCGCTCCTAGGCAGTAGGCGGGAGAACACTGCTGTGAGTTCACCCTAAACGTTAGGGGGTAGGCGCCAAGGAGTTAGGCGGCGCTTTGGCGCCCGCCTAGGGTGCCTGGGCTGGTCGGCTGACTGCTTCTCTACTCTTCGTGACCCAACCAGTGGCCACGACTTCTTCTTCTCTACTTATCAGAGGTATCTTTGAATTTTTCTTCTTTTCTTTGGAGCTGCTGCTGGGCTCACCTTATTTCAAGGGCGCTCAAGAGGAGATCATGGAGGCAGAGAAAGATGAAAGACAATGGAGGTAGAGAGAAATGGGAGGTGATGGACGCTCAATCCCTTGTTGCCCACAAAGAAAGAGGTACATAATTGCAGTGGAATTAGAGATACAAATTTGGGTTCTGTTGACTTGTTTGATTTGAATAAGGTTGTGTTGGAGTTTGATGATATTTATGCTTATGGATACAAGCAAAGGTTTTTTGAAAGAATTAGCTGGAAGAAGAAGAGAGCGAACGCATGTTTAGAGGAATAAACCTTTTTCTTTTTTCTTTTTTGAGAAAGCAATCGGCTCCTGTCGGGGAGCCTCACTAGCTTACAGGTTATGAAAGGAGTTATTCTTAGGATGGTTAGCCGGAATACTAATACTTTCTACCGTTCACCCATTTTTTAAGGAGCAAACTGTGCTGCACGTTTTTAGTTGTTATCAAAATGCATTTAATTTGGTTAATTACACGTATTAATTGGTTTTTAGTTTTATGTTTTGAACTTAATGGATAATAAAAACATGATGGATGCAATATCAGTTTTTGTTATTCGTGGTCCCTACGGTTTATGAAATTATCAGATTGCTTCTTTTTTTTTTTTTTTTTTTTTTTTTTTGTGGTTCGTGGGTCCTCAAGGTTAGTATGTGTGATCACAAATGATCTCTGTCGTTAGGTTATGTCAAAAACTCCGTTAGTTTGCTGATGCGGCATATATATAATTTTTTTTATAAAAAAAAGGGCAGAAAACCTCTCCTGACAAAATTTCGTCAACATAGGTCTATCCCGGCGAAAATTCGCCGGATTGGACTTTTCCCAACAAAATGTTGTTTGAATGGGTAATTTCGTCAGGGCAATTTTAATCCAACAAGGTTTCGTCGGGATAGATCTGTGCCGACGAAAATTCGTCTAGAGAGATTTTATTTTAAAATAAATATAAATTTAGTATCTTTTAGGTC